GGGTATCTGTACAAAACCAGGCTGCTAAATAAGGTGATGATGGAGATGAAATAGACTAGAGTTGGATATTCGATAATTGCAGAGGAATACATTTAATATGCGTCATCTTCTCTATTCATTCATCTTTATTGTTGTCACCCAGAGGTACAACACTGTAATGCAGGTGAGTGTGAAATTACTATTTTGTCCTTGGCTGGTTTTTTTTTTTTTTTTGTTCGAGTGAACTTGACGAGGTGTTATTTTAAACGGGTTTTGTAGGTTTATGGTGTAATTACATGGTGTATCTCACCGTGTGTAGGGTGTCTATAAAACCGTTTTTTTTTTTTTTATGTTCGGAATGTTTGGTAAGCTTTCGAGTCTGTGTTTTCATTTTATTTTGAGAAAATATATTTTGTGAATTCGAAAATTGACGTCGTATTTTTTTCTCGAGAATATAGTAGGATTGATACATAATAGCAGTCAAATTATTCCGAGCTGTGTCTCGAAAAGGGAATTTGAATCTTTTGAGGTGTTTATTCGTGTTCTAGTGAATATGTATATGTTTTAATTACTACATCAGTCAAATCATGTTTGAAGTATATAAACAAAATAAAATATTTTTGGAGCAAATCTATGGAAAGATTAATTTCAAAGGTTTGACGAACATTATTGGCATTTAGCTTGGGGGTATTTTTGGTATTTTGAGTAAATATCAATCCCTACTAGGAAAAGAAACGTATAAAAGAATAATAAAGAAGAAAAAAAGGAGATATGGTTGATACTAGAAAAGATTGAACAATGAGATGAAGTTAGGCATATAATGAAATCAACATAAGACTATTTTCACATGGTTGAAAGTTAGGCATATAATCAAATCAATGAAAGGATGTATATCATGTGTTAGGTAAGTTGAAATTAACTTTGAGTTATTAAATTCCTAATAATTAAATCAAAAAATGGAAAACTTTACAATTTGATTGAAAATAATTGCTTTCTAATTTTGTAGGATATGAAATAATAATTATAAATAAATAAAAACTAGTATAGAAATGGCCTAATATATGAGGGGTGTTAGTATAAAGTTATAAGCATATTACTTTAAGTGTGTTTTTCAAAATTTTATTTAAAAGTAGAAGTTAGTGATTGTGAGTTAAGTTGTTATTTTCAAAAGCTTTTACAAATAGTTTTTGAACTTTTTTTGGCTCACAATCTATTTTCAGGTGTTTGCAAAATGAACTTTTATTTTTGCTTCTTTTAAAATAAGTAGCTTTAAGCTATAAATTATAATATTTAAGTTGATTTTGTAGCAAATTTGCAAACACCCTTAACTTTTAGAAATAAATTTAAAACGAACTTAACCCACAATTCATAATTTCTACTTTTAAATAAGCTTTTGCAAACACCACTTAAGTTGATATTAAGTGTTAATTTATAGCAGTTGAGAGCGTTTGTAAGTACCTTGTAAATCAACTTTAAATAGAATAAGCAGGTTCATGATGTGTTTGTCAAATCAAATTATGAATTAATTTTAAGAGAAACATAATCAAAATATAATTTTGCAAACATCTAAAACAGATTATCAGAAAAAATAAAAAAATAAAAAATCATAAATTATTTCTTTTTTTTTTTTTTTTTTTGTTCAACACAACCTTTATGGAAAGTATAAACAATTAATTGCATTAATTTGTTGTTTGAACTTTTTTGTTAGGGGGGCGGGGACCGCAACACAATTGGGCTCACTTTGAAAGTAATGGCCCAAATTTATTTATTAAATTATTTTAAAATAATAAATAAAATAATGAAACAATTTAAAAGCAATGATCCAAATTGATAATGCAGATTCTGCACAGCATAAGACAAAATTTATTCATCAATATATTCGTACCCACTTTTATTGATAATGATATATTAATTATTTATTCCTCACATTTATATGCAAGCTATTATATCACTGGCCTTTTACCATTTTCCAATTTATTGATTATAAAAAAAGTATTATTTGTAATTATTCCCATCATTATATTGTATCTTTAGCTATAAAAGAAAGCAATTATTCTTCATTCAATTTACACTATTTTTCTCATACCAAGAATTTGAAAAGTCAACTCAAATAACTACAAATTTTCGTGTTTCATTGTTCTCGTCCGATTTCTATATTTTACACCTCGAAAAAATACCACTAAAAAGCCGAAATTGCTCCGATTAACTTTAAAAACAAATCAGGTGGGTTATAAATGATTTATTATATTTTGGGGTGTAAAATATTATTTTTTTGTTTATTGGGTTACGAAATGCCAAAAGATCATATATTAAGGGTGAAAGTACTATTAAGCCATAAAATAATTGGCCTGGAAATTAATTTAAAAAGGCAGAAAGCCAGAAATATAATAATATAGGTTAACAGGTAAGCACCTGGTCAAATCTAAGATCCAAGATCAAGCTGCACTAATTACAATAGTTTAAATTAATAATGACGTCACCCTTGCTAAAATTTATTGTGTAATTAAAAAACAAATTTTAGCCCGAATTTCTACCGCAACGAAGGTTGGTTTCTTGTGGGCACCAGATTCGCGTTTGCTATCTTAATGGGTCGCTGAGTCACCATGATTTTCATTATTCATCAAATACTTGTCGGACTATAAGATGGGGCCTGAGACGAGAGATTTCGCAAAAACAAATTTCAACTCTGTAATAATAAATAAATGGGTAAATTACAACCACCCCTGATGTATGGTCAAATTACGAAAATTAAACCCCCTCTTGTTTGGATAATTACAACCACCTCTCAACTCATCAAATTTAGTGGAATCTTTGAAATTATATGGAATATTATCACTTTTGTACCCATTTTATCCCATTCGAACTTTACATTTTGAAGCAAGATGATCATAAAATGTGTTTTTTGGCTTGTATATATCAGATTGTGGTGCATCAGAAACTGTATTTTTACACAAAACGAGTACAAATTAGAGCACATTCCATGAAATTTAGATGATTATGTTGAATTTAACACCATATGTAAAAAAAAAACATAATTGAGTGGATAGATGTAATTATCCAAATGAGATGAGTTTTTTTTTAAATTAATCATACTATAATTTACCTAAATAAATAAATATGAGAAAGGAATAAAAAGGGGTCCCCTGAAATTTAGTGTCAATTCAATTGAAAAATATGACACTAAACTCTTAAACTAATGGTGGCAAAAACAAACAGAGTAATGACAAATATTTAGGCATCAGCCCATCATGTATTGTTGGATTAGGTCAATGATTTATATGTATAGTGCCCCTATTTCTACGGGTTTTGATAACGTAAGCCACGTGCGGTAAATAAAAAATTATGCTAATTAAATATCATTAACATACATACTTCAAGAAAAATAAATGTTGGTTATGAAATGTTACTACTTCATAATTTGATTCATTCTTTGGGAGAGAGTTGGTGTGTGTGTGTGTGTGTGTATACTTCTATTCTTCTATTTTATCATTAATTATTGGAACCTAATAAATTATTTTGTCACCTAATTTAATTATTTAGTTGGTATAATTTGATAATTTCACATTATTGCTCTAACATTCTGTCACCAATAATTTCATATATTTTTAAGAGATAATCAAAACAATATTCTTTCTTTTTTACATAATATTATTGTTCAAAATTAATTTATTATAGGGTAAATTACACACACCCCCTGAGGTAAGCTTAACTAACTGTAAGGTCCCTGTGGTATCGATAATTACATTCACCCCCCTGAAAGGTAGTTAAAAACTCTAACGGCATGATGCATTGTATACATTATTCCAATACGGGTCTAATGGACTATAACATAGAGCTAATTCTGTAGACAACAGAAACTTATGAGTACGACTAGTCGTGACATGCAGAGGCAGAGCTATCAAGCTGTCAGATAGCACTCCTACGCGCTGCAGAAACACCACCAAACGGCAGCTGG